TTATTATTATTATTGCAAGCTACACTTCAATTCTAGAGGATGCTAGCAGAACTGTAGAAAGAGTGCCTAGGGCTGGATGATGGGGAGAGAGGCACATTTTCTAATCCCTTTGATATGATGTTCATGGCACCCCCCAAGGACCCTAAGAAATGGTTGGGGGAGGGAAGAGGCAGCTCGCTCCGCCGCGCTGGATCGCCCTAACCCAGTTCCTGCCTCACATCGAAGTGACACGTGCTAGGGATCTGGTTTCGGGGGGAGGGTTTGAGCCGCGTGACAGCCAGCAATGGGTGCCACCTTGCATTGGCCTCTGCTCAGAAGTTCCTTGACATGGGGAGAGGTGGGTACACAGCAGGGAAAGCTGTATTTCCAGCTGTAGTTCCCCCCAGATTTATTTCCATTCAAGTGCCCTTTACTCCTGTGGCCTTCATTAAACATACACTTCCTTCCTGCCCTCAACAATGTCCTCCGCCCAGACACAAGGATGCTCACGCGTACACAGACAGGCAAATACATATGGCATGTCTAGCTGTGGGTCTTATTTCATATTACTGAAACTGTGAGGCTGTGTCTGGGCCTATGAAATCACTGGTTGCTGTTGAAATCTTCTCCCTCCCCCCCCCTCACCCTCTTGCCTCAAGGGATATGGCTGAGAATCTTATGCCACTCTGCTATTTCTGGGGCAGCCTTGAGAAGTATTTGCTAGAGTCCGGGTGCAGGCATGGCTTTGAATGGGACCACCTTAAAGTCGCAATTAACAAAATCAGGGCCCTGTCAGTGGCAGGAGATAATCCAAAGTGATGGAGCTGGGGGGAGGGGCAAGGGAGGGCAGGGAAGGACAGGGCACCAAAAGATGTACAGGCTCCCCACTTGTAGAGAAAGGAACCGCTAGACGTCTAAGGAGACTATATTTTATAGATCAGCATGTTGGTGTCCACACAACACGGTGATGGTTCTTGAGCTTCTAGCACAGCATTGGAATAGAAGGGAAATATTTGAGACTCAATGCTGCAGGTCATGGTTATTTGCTTTAAAGGGGGGGGGAGGAGTAATGAGGGAGTATATCCTATACCTCTATAACAATCTATCCCTTCCAGGCATCGTCCCCCCCTTCGCCATGCCACCTCCCCCCCCCCCGCCGCTTCACTATAGTGTGTGTCGCTGGGCAGATAGATTGGGCCTGACAGTCTATGGCTCCCCCCAGGCCCCCTTCACACATGAGTCAATCTGCTTTGCATTTTTAATTGACGGCATGTCGCAGTAACAGAAATGTGTACTTAGCTCCCCCCCCCCATCCTCCCCTGGCCACGTGGACAATCTTCCTACTCTTCACAAAGATTTCTACTCTACACTGGTAGGTCCTTTTGGCTTCCTAAAAAGCCCAGGGTAGGCATTACCACAAAGTAATGCTCTCTGCTCCGAGTGTACAGGACTTTTTATTTTTAAATGGTAGATTTTTTTGGTCATCATATGATGGAGCTTTCCTTCCTTCCTTCCTCTCCAGTTGGTTCTTAATTGATAGCATTGTTCATGTTTGTTTTCTGTCATTTGGGTTGCTTAGCCCTAACCCTAAAACAAGTCCTAAATATTATTATTTTTTTCTCTTAAAAGCAGATTCCTAGGTGATGCATCTTTAGTGATTTTCAGTCCTTGCTGTCCCTGAGTATAGACCTCTGCTTCTTTTCTCATCAACAGCTCATTCAGCACACCAATGTCCTACAAGTTTTCTCTCTATGTGTCTCTAATGGGTTATTTTGATCCAGCCTGATGTACCTCCACTATCCAAACAATTCCCTTTTTCCTGTAGGTTTTTGTTTGGCCCTGTCTCAGTACCACAATTATAGTTCTTTCTAGATGGGAGGCTGCTTACAGATCACTGAGGAAGTGGACAAAATACAAGACATATTGTACATGCATAAGATTGCATATGCTTATGTATGAAAACCTGAAATTATTTTATTGATTTAATTACACTACATCTCAGCTGAGTGGGAAGCACATGATCAAGGATATGGTTGCTAAGCCTGTTATGCAAGTGTTGTTAAATGTAGATGTGCAACTGCAAAGCCCCTACTGTCCCTTCTTTTTATGAGTCTTTCAATTAGACTTGGACTTTCAATTAGAAAGGATACCTTCAAAAAGAGAGCATTTCTTTGGCTGTCCAACTTAGAGGTCTGTCTTCTATAAATGAGAACATCTGGTCCTGATCAAATTCTATGTCTCTTCTACTTTCCCATCTGTGGTCTTGCTGGACTACAGTTCCCATTGCCCTTAGCCATCCTAGCTGAGGCTAATGGGAGCTGAAGTCCAAAAACAACAGAAGAGCTGCAGGCTCCCAATCCCAGAATTGAGCAGGTATTTTGGCCTGTCCCAATACTACTTACTAACTTGCTGGGTACCCTCCATCCTTACTTTTCTTCCATCAACTTGTCCTAATCCTGTGCTACTATCCTGCCTACCTCCTCTCTCACTTTGGCCCACTAGTGTTGACAGACCCTTATTGACACCCTTGCAGCCCCCAAAATGTATTTGGACTCCAAATTCCATCAGTCACAGTCAGCCTGGCCAAGGTTGAAAGATGGTGCAAGTACAATTCATCAACATCTGGAGTGTTTCAGCTTCCCTGGCTCACTAAATTTCTCAGCTATTTAAATCCATGCCTCCTTTTGATACTATGCTCTTCTTCAAACCTGCTGTGAGTTTCTGTTTTGGGCTAGAAGAAACAGAGGAGGGGTGGGCAGGCTTTGCCTGTCTGCACTTAATTTGGCACCACAACTGAAAAGGTTTAGCTTGTCACACTGGAAAGCAGATGATCTGGAGGGGAGGGCTTTAAAGGAGGAACACAGAGGCAACATCGACATGCTACAAATTCTATAGTGCAGTCTGTCAAAAATAAAACTAAAAGAAAGATAACAAATGCATTAGGGCAGTGGTCCCCAACCTTGGGCCTCCAGATGTTCTTTGACTACAGCTCCCAAAAGCCTTCACCACCACCACCTCTGCTGGCCAGGATTTCTGGGAGTTGAAGTCCAAGAACATCTGGTTGGAGACCACTGCATTAGGGTACATCATAGGATGATAGAATAAGTAATGGGTAAAATTGTGTTTTTTTCTGTTTCCTAATTTTAAATTATATATAATGTATTTTTTTCAAACAATACACACCTCCCCAGAAATCATATTATGCCCCCCTACTGGGGCATGCCCCACTGATTGAGAATTAGTTCTATAGATTATCCTACGTATCTTTCCCCTTTTAGGGACTCCTACCACACACTACTGGCCTGCTTACTTTGCCTCTCTCATCAGCTGAAATAAGAGTTGTGTTCTGCTTGCTTATAAGAAACAAAGCAAAAAACGCCTACAACACAAGGTCTGTTCAGTCATATTGGATAAATTGAAACTCAATGCACAGAGGCAATATGCTGGAAGGAAGAAGTGTGGAGTAGAACAATGAGAAGGGCTATTGCCTCTAGGGCCTTTATTTGCAGACTTCCCTGAAGTGTCTGTTCGACCACTTTGAGAAGCAGGATTTGGTGTTGGATGGACTAGTGCAGTGGTTCTTGACCTTGGGTAACTCGGGTGTTCTTGGACTACAGCTCCCAGAAGCCTTTGCCACTAGTTGTGCTGTCTGAGGTTTCTCGGAGTTGCAATCCAAGAACACCTGGGTTAACCAAGGTTGGGAACCACTGGACTAGTAGGATGATCCAGCCATGTGGCTCATAGTCTGAAAAATGCCAACAACACAAAACCAAAACTTGAATGGATAGCTAATAAAAATGAACCATAAAACGAGAAACAGCAAAGCAACAGTGAGATGACTATCAAAATTCTGTTCAGCACTTTCATAAAATATATAGCGAGAATTCCATTAAGATGGAGGTTTTTTTGGAAGTCTTTTCAAGGATGTAAGGATGAGGTTTAATGTACTGTACTCCCTTAGATAAGAAATTCCACAAGCATCGGGATGGGCCACTGATGAATAAGCTGCCTCTTCGGTGTACCACATTATTTTGCAGACCATGTGTGAAAGCTACCCTATCTTGGGTTTCAAAAGGGCCAGCTCAAAAGCTGATTCACACTCAGGTGAAATAACAGACACACCCTGAGATCTCACAGTTCTCTCTCTCGCTCTTTCTGCCTCTTTGGCAGTAGAACATAGATCGATCAAATAAATAAATAAATAAATAAATAAATAAATAAATAAATAAATAAATAGGCCCCATTCAGGGAATTGCGGGGGAGCAGGATCATTTGGCATAGGCCTCACCTCAGGGGGAGGTTTCACCTCAGCCTAAAGGTAGACCTAAATAAAATATACTGTCATGCATTCTACAAATTAAAAAATAAAATAACATTACATGCCATTCTTTACATTAAAAAATATTTTTCACCCTTCTTCCCAGTGAGGAGGCCTCACAATGTGAAGTGGTCCAGGCCTCATCTGAGCTCTCAGAGGGCCTAACTATGATTTTTGTCGCAAAGTACTGTAGTTGCCTGAAGCAGCCGCCTCATTCTCCGTAACACTGTTGGGTTAGCCCTGCTGTTTGGCCTTGTGAAGACAAGCTTTGTCCTGGTCTGCCCCAAACTCCCTCCTTGGTTCTGTCCCTCTATATGTAAAGCAGAGCTTGGCCGTGATATTGTTTGGGATGACAACCCTCAGAATCTCCCAGCCAGCATGGCCAGCAGGGGATTCTGAGAGTTGTATCATTGTCAAGTTCTGTTTGTGATCTCTCGCTGCTCTTTGGCCAGAGGTTATTATCCTTTAAGGACAGGATCGAGGCAAGCATATACGTAGCTTGCTGTGTGGTTTGTTTTCGGTGTGCTTTCCGGCAACCATATGTGTTTTAGGTAAGATCGATCCATCCTGCTCTTTTTGTGAGCTCTTCTGCTCCTTTATGGCACAGCACAAGGGCTGCAATGTATTTGGTGCAATTGGGAGCACTCCTGATTATCTCGTTCTGCAGTTTGGGTAGTTGCTTAATTCACTCCCAGATAGAGCTGCGGATGATATTCTCTTCTTCAGTGGCAACACAGTTATGTAGGCAGCGGGTTGTAGCAGCATAAAGGACGGCAGAAAAATCCTCTCCTCTATTTTCATCTTTTCATATTTTTAAAAATATTCCCCTAAATGATGCAGTACTATTTCAGATATAAGGGAATATCCATGCAAGGTTGATGTATTGCTGTAAAACTATGCCATTAACTAACTGAAGCAAAAAAAAAAAAGAAAAAAGAAGAGAGGTGGGGAAAGGGGCAGGGGATGTCAGTACAAGTGGTGCCTCGCATAGCGAACGCTTCGCTATGCGATGAAACCGCACAACGAGGGGTCCCGGGCCATCGCTGGAGCGTTCGCTCAGCGATGGCCCCTATGGGCTTTTTTATTTCACTTAACGATGGATTCGCTGAGCGAGGGTTAATCCGGAACGGATTAACCTCGCTAAGCGAGGCACCGTAATCAAAAAAGGAAGACATGGGAGCAATCTGAAGTGCTCTCTGGATCCTTCTAATAGGGGAAGAAACATCTCCCATGTGAATGGAAAGATTATTCAAGACAAAATAGATTGCACCGAAGATCATAGAATCAGAATCGTCGTAGGGTTGGAAGGGACCTTGGGAGGAAGCCTTCTAGTCCAACCTCCTGCCCAAGGCAGGAGACCTCATACCATCCCAGATAGATGGCTGTCCAATCTTTTCTTGAAAACCTCCAGGAGCCTTTTACACACAACCTGGATTGCTCCAAATTCCGGGAAGCCTTCTAGTCCAAACTCCTGCCCAAGGCAGGAGACCTCATACCATCCCAGACAGATGGTTGTCCAATGTTTTCTTGAAAACCTCCAGGAGCCTTTTACACACAACCTGGATTGCTCCAAATTCCCCCATCTAGTCATGCCCTAAACTGGCTGGATAGCTCAGTGCAGAGCCAGAGATTGGGAGTTTGATTCACCACTGTGCCTCTTGTGAGTAGAACCAGCCAGTGTGGCCATGGGCAAGCTGCACCGTCCCAGAAGAAGGGAATGGGAAACCACTTCTTAGCATTGTCTGTCTAGAGAACCCTGAGAAGGGTCGTCGTGAATCAGAATTGACTTGATGGCAAATGTTTATTTAGTCATGCCCTAAGTTAATCTATCCTGGTGTACCTGTCTCACCTGCTTTTTTTCTTCCTTGTACTGGTTCTTCCCGGATTCCAGTGTTTCTCATGCAATTTGATCCATTTCTTATTGTTCTTCTAAAGCACTATGCTACCATGTCATTTATTCCTAACTTAGCTATGGGAGTGGCATGGCAAACGATTTGTAAGGTGGAAGAACAGAGAAAAGCAGCTAAAGTTTCCTTCTGTCTCTAGTCACAATGGAATCTGGTTTGTTCATCGTTTCTGTCTTCTGAAAGAAGAATGGGGCATCGTACATCAGTAATCCAGGTTCTTCCAGGAGAGATACTGGACCTAGAGGGTTTAAGTGTGAGGAGAAAGGGAGAGTGAAGACTCCTGGAGCTAATTTGGTGAGGGTGAGAGGCCTGGAAACCTGGACTCTGAAGTGCTTAGAGACAGAGGCTGACGGGCTAAGACAAGGGGGCTGAGAGCCAAGATTCCTCATTTTTCCATCCCTCGAGCCTTTGACTAGAAGGTGCAGCTCACGCCTCTCTCTCTGTGCCGTCTGTCCCATTTGCTCCCCCCCCACACACACACTCTCTCTTCCCATCTCCGCCATCCCCTGTAGCCCTGACTGGCTATGACAGGCTCTTTCTCCATGATTTCTGTGAGCAACAGCGCATGGTTGTATAGCTGGGGACTTCTCTCTCTGCTCTCTTCCCACCCCCACCCCCGATCCATTGGAGGGAATTAAGTTCAAATCTGACACGACAACTTAGCACAAATGTCACAGCAGCATTGCGTTTCAACCCCCCCTTGGCGCATCCCAGCCTCTCCCCCACATCTCTGTGCCCAGGAATGATATTTATTCTTGTACAATGCCCGCCCAAAAGCCACTCACAGCGCCACAACAAGAAGAGAGTGGTATGGGCAGTAGGCAATAGACACTGGAGGGGCATATGCTTTCTTCTTGGGAAGCCACATAGAGTGGACTGGATACCAAGAAACAGCAGGCAAAAGGTGGGTGGAGTATACAATCTCCAAAAATCCTTCACAGAAGAAGAATGGGCATTTGAGGGATTTTCTGCCATAACATGAGCAAGGGTAAGGAGCAAAAGTACTTGATTCTGCTAGTGAAATGGGAGCTGGGATATAGAATGGCGGGCATTGCCTGCTGGCTAATATGAGTGTAGAAATTGAGTATCAAAAAGGGATTGATGAGAGTTCAAATGATTTATGGTCTAGGGCAGGAGGATAAAGGCCAAGGAACCCCAAGCAAGCACAGATGAAAAGGGAAATTAGAACTGATCAGAAGGGGAAATAGAGCAGGGAAATGGAAAAGTTATGCTTACAAAACCGCTTGGCTTTGAAGAAATATGTAGATCTTTGGTATGGGTAATGGGGACAAGAATGGGTGGGAGGGATCTGAGGTAGATCTGAGGGCAAAGGTGGGATTAAAAATCTGTTGTTCTGGAACTGTTTTTCTTCTCTTCCAGCACAAATAACCGAGAGTGGACCAGGAGGCAGTTTACAAGAGTCCTTGTTTGATTTTGGGTTGGTTTGTGTGGGTACTTCTCCGTTCGTTTTCTTCTGCCAAGGATAAACCCTCAGCCTGGATGTTGGATGTAGGTTATGTATCAAAATGCAATCCTGTACACAGTTAAATCCAGTTGATTTGCACCATTCAAGTAACCTAACCATGCTCAGGATTGCAGCTTTCGAGAGTATTGTTTCTTTCTTCCTCATTCAACAAATGTTCTTTCATTGCAGATGGTTTGAACCACTTCGTATGTAATCAACAGATTAATCGGTATTGACCGGAACATTACCTCTCATCAGCCTCTGCCCTATTGTACTCAAGTGTAGTTGTCAGACTCAGAGGATTCCAGGTAATGACAATTATAATAATTATGTTAATAAACAGTATGCATGATGTAATAAATATATTTAGTTAAGGGAGTAGACAATTTTTTAAAACCTTATTGAATAATTTCCAGGAAAAAGCAGATTATTTAGAATAGGAGTTTGTTTTATTTTGTTGAGACTAAAACACACCCAGAATTGTTGCGGATGCTAGTGTCTGGGAAAGGATGATAGAGCGGGATGTGGATTCTATAGAAGCAACTGCTTTTGGAGAGAAAGCAACACTCTAACTCGGTCCAGAGGACAGAAGGATTCAAGACTGTGGGAATGAGAGGTAGGTTGGGGGGAGAAAATGACGATACCACCCCACAGTTTCTAGGAAGGGAATTTATACTTGTCGTAGATTCTTATATAACTTGAAATCCCTTGCTTAATTTCCGTTCAGATGTTTGTTAGTATGATTATATTTCCGAATCTTTCTTCTGCGTCACTAGACGTTTCCATTGTCCATAATCCAGATACTGCAGTTTGCTACCCAAAGATCCTTTTCTTTGGTATGAAAAGCATCTTGCTCCCATATTGCTGTGAAATGGGTAGGGAGGGCAGCCATTTTGGGATTTGTGTTTATTGGTCCAAGAACATCGCAATGTTCTCTCTTGCTAGTATAGAGGTTGGTTGTGTTCTCCGAATTGCAAGTGGCAGTGATTAACCTCTGAATTCAGGGTGAAGCGTGAGGTTTTCAGCCCTGAGGAAAGTTTGACGGTGGGTATATCATACCTTTATGAGGCATCACTTTTGAGATGGGAAGTTAAATATGATGGTTGTTGTATTTTTAGATGACTGAGATAAAGAAAGAGGGATAAAGGGAGGAAAAGAACTTTCTATATTAATGTACTGGAGAAGGCATAGAGGAGAAAGTATACTTAAAGGTTAAACTGCATTTTATCCTCACTTCTCTGATGGAAGGTTTGCTGCATTTCTATATTGCTTCATTACCCAGCCAAAGAATAGGAATTTTTGTTTCCATGTTGGGTAGTGATGAGAGGAATGGAATGCTGAGTGGCTGGCAGCCTTTTGTCTGGAGAGTTGAGGACAATTCAGTCAACACTGCCAAGGTGGAACTGAAAACCAACACTCCTGATTTGACTTGATCTGATTTGCAGCCCTCATTCTGAAACTGGCATAAAGATCTAGCCATGATTTTTTTTGAACTTTTGCAGTTTTCTAAATGTTTCTAGTCTGAAGAAGTGTCCTTGTCCATGAAATCTCACTTTAAAATACAGTAGTTAGTCTTTAAAGTGCCAAAATGTTTTTGTCTTTATTTTTTTTTTGTTATTACATTTTGCCTTTGACTTTGTACTAAATTATCCACAGATCAGTGGTGCCTAGCCTGGCGAAGGCCTGAATGGGCTAAAAGCTAGCTTTTGTTTGCAATTTTTAGTGGTCTAACAGAGGCATCACATCCTTGGTTCCTTTGGATTGTGTACAAGGACCAAATGGCTTTTCCCCTTCTAAAAATATGTTTCTGTAACATGTGCTATCAGCTTGCACATGGTGGATGTATGATATGGTGTGCAGATACATGTTTGGATAAGAGAACCTCGGAATGATGGAATATTTTTTGAATGTGTGTGTGCAGCACCCCTTGAAGAAAGATATGCCTATTGTTTTATTCCAACAATTAGGTGATTTATATTTTGGGCCCTGAGTGATCTCACATCCAGGCACAGATGAAGTCCATTTAACCACTTAGCTTAAGCAGTGCTGTGTCGGAATGCCCCAGACTCTGCTTCCAGTTAACAAGGGCTTGCCCTCTCTCTCTCCGTGTGAAATATTTTCAGTATGTTAAAGAATTTACTCTGAGTATGCTGTGCATTTTCTGTCACACAGAAAATGAAGCCAAAATTCCAGAACCAAGACCTTCTATACTCAGACTTAGTTTCTGCTGGTTTTACATGCAGCCTCTTCTCTGCATATCTGATTCAGTAAAAAAAAATACTAAAAGATTTAAAATACTTGAGAAGTGGGAAGGATAATTCCAACAGTGAATTGAAGGCTTAATATGTTTATCTACCTTTGAACCTTAGTCCGGGTCCAGCAAGCACTTGGATGGAAGCTATGGATGTCTGATAATTGTGTGATGACTTGTTTGTTTTTGTTCTAATGCAATGCATTGTCTGTGTGTCATATGTGAAGCCGCAGTGGGGTGTGGCCTCTGTTGAGAAGGATGTGACTATTTGGGGACATCCTGAGTATACCTCATTATTTGATGCCCCGAACAGTTTCCTCGTAGGAGTTATGCTGGATTAGACCAAAGGCCTACCTAGTTCAAAATCATAATATTTCTACAGTGTCCAACCCAGAATCTCAGAGAAGCCCATGACTGGGATATGAGGGCAATAACTGTTGCTTGTTGTTGCTTTTAGAAACTATATATAGACCATGATTCCAAGTATATTATAATGGGCACAGTAATGAACTAAGACAGAAGATCTGGGTTCAAATCTCTGCTTGGCCATAGAAACTCATGAGTGGGACAGAACTGGTAAAAACACCTCACTTACCTTAAAACCCCTCTTAGGTCACATTAAGCTGGTTTCAACTTGACAGCATAGATCACATGCACATGCAGATGATATTGCCTCTCACCCTAGAAGTAACACAGTGGTGTAATTAGTAGGGCCTGACATTCTTATTTTTGTCAGTTTGATACATTCCCATTTCAAGCCACCTGAGCTAATGGAACTCATTACATTTTGTGGCAGTTACTCCTGAAAGAGATATAAAGGAGAAGAAATATAACAATACCTGTAGATGTAATTATGGGGAACGGATGGATGGATGTATAGAGGAAGGGGGCACTTTCCTTTCCATGTTAGTCTCTGTAACAACAATGAAAAGTATAGAGGTGGTACATGCAGCTGAAATCCAGCAGAAAGTCACAATTAGAGTAGGCCCATTGAATCAGCAGGGATTTGGGGAATCATCTTCTCCATAAGTTCCATTAATTCTATGGGACCATTCTAGTTGTGACTTACTACTCGATTTCAGCCACTGTTGCATAAATCTGAAAGTTGAGTCATGGCAACTGGACTTCTTTCTTGTTAGGTTGAAATGTTTTGTTACTCATCGAAGCAGCTTCGTCAGTCTGAGGAGAGTTGGTAGGAGATCCCTGAGGACCAACTCTCCTGAGACTGAAGAAGCTGCTTGGATGAGTAGTGAAACGTTTCAACTTAACAAGAAAGAAGTCCACTTGCCATGACTCAGCTTCCAGATAGTCATCCAAGATGAGGTTACTGGTATCTTCACAGATATACTGTTGCATAAAGTTTTCTGGATGGATAAAGGAAGTTCTTACGAGAGGCACCAGTGGGTGTCAGTAGCAAGCCTGCTGCAAATTTTTTGAAAAAATCAAATTTTTATTAAAACAAAAAAAAAATATATTTTTTTTGGAAAATCATGCTGAAAACTGATCAGTGGGTGGTTATTTTTTATTTGTGTCAGAACTGAATGGAATCAAAGGTCATCCAAGATGAGGTTACCGGTATCTTCACAGATACAGTATACTGTTGCATAAAGTTTTCTGGATGGGTAAAGGAAGTTCTTACGAGAGGCACCAGTGGGTGGCAGTAGCAAGCGTGCTACAAATTTTTTGCAAAATCTAATTTTTATTAAAACAAAAAAAATTTTTTTTTGGAAAATCATGCTGAAAACTGATCAGTGGGTGGTTATTTTTTATTTGTGTCAGAACTGAATGGAATCAAAGTAGCAGGGTGATAGTCAGAGAAGCATGTTAACAGGCTATAGGAAACGACATGGAATTTGCGGTCAAATAATATCTGGAAAGCTATTTTTTAAGGGGAGCTTTTTACAGAAAAAATGTTGTTTTTGTGTGCTGTCAATTTGGAACTGACTTATACTGGATAGCTCAGTGGTTTAGGCATCTGGCTACAGAGCCAGAGGTTGGAAATTCAATTCAACTGTACCTCCTTGACAGGGGCCGGACTCCATGATCCATAGGGTCCCTGCTAGCTTTGCAGTTCCAAGACTATTATTATTAGACCAATCCTAATATGACTTTCAACATTCGTGAGATACTGTACTTAAATTGTAGTTTTACCAGTTTCACATATACAGTGTGTTTCTATGGCTGAGCAGGGATTTTGGAAATTCAATTCAACTGTACCTCCTTGACAGGGGCCGGACTCCATGATCCATAGGGTCCCTGCTAGCTTTGCAGTTCCAAGACTATTATTATTAGACCAATCCTAATATGACTTTCAACATTCGTGAGATACTGTACTTAAATTGTAGTTTTACCAGTTTCACATATACAGTGTGTTTCTATGGCTGAGCAGGGATTTGAACCCAGGGGACTTTCAACGTTCGTGAGATACTTAAATTGTAGTTTTACCAGTTTCATATATACAGTGTGTTTCTATGGCTGAGCGGGGATTTGAACCCAGGCCTCCTGTTAAAATATTACATCCCACATTATCAAAATTTGATCAGAACGTGCAAGTCTATTATAAGAGCAATTTGATTTCAACATTTTGCCATTTACTAGAAAATAATTCTAACTCCTTAGTTTTAATGTAATCTTTAAAATATTACATCCCACTTTATCAAAACGTGATCAGAACGTGCAAGTCTATTATAATAGCAATTTGATTTCAGCATTCTGCCATTTAATAGAAAATAATTCTAACTCCTTAGTTTTAATATATTTTTATAATCTTACTTTTGGATATGAAATTTCTCCTTGATCATTACCCAAACTGTTTGGGAAGAAGAAAATATTATGGACTCATTATTTGCTTCATGTGATGAACAGAATGCCTTTGGTTACCCACTTTTCAAATTACTTCCATTTTAGAGGAAGTTGCTTCCCTTTTTCGACTCCCTAAAAGTCCTCAGTCTTTCCTGAGATTTGTCAGATGATCTGGGATAATATATTCATATATTGGGTTACCTAACTGTTGAATATTTCAGTGGTTTAGCTCTCTGGCTGCAGAGCCAAAGGTTG